CACAGGGAAACGCAGACTTCAGATATGTTATAAACGATGTAATTTATTAACACTAACCATACAAACATAAATGCAGTGCAATACTAAAACATAACACAGTGCAAACAAACCAACCAACCACCCACAGATAACAGTACATACAATGCAAGCGTCGTCAGGCAGGCCGGGTCAATATGAATCGGGCAGGTAGGTACAGGGGAGCAAGCGGAGAATGGTCGAGGTCACAGGCCAGGTTCAGCAGGTAGCGGGCAGCGTGGTACAGAGGGTCAGGCAGAGGAGAATGGTCAGACAAGCCAGGGATCAGAGCAGGGTCATCAGAGAATCAGACAGGAACAGGGAGCAGGAACAGGATACAGGGCCCAAGAGAAACACAACACCAAGGCCGAGTCTGCAGGTCTGAATGTCCCTTAAATACACCAGTATAATTAGTTCCAGGTGTTTGACTGGCTGCAAGGTTGAGTCTCTGATTGCTGGGAGCACCCGCTGGCCAGCCCTGGTACTGCAGCTCACAAGGCAGGTGAGTCCCACTATTGCTGGCCAGTCCATTCCTGACAGTATCCCTGATGGAATGAGGGTGATATAAGGTACCGCAATATTTTTCTGCTGTTATCCATATAAGTTGGGCATCCAGGATGGCTATCTTTCCATTCGTAAGTGCAGAAGTCATACGTGTACCCTCCCAAAGTTTATGTAACTTCACCCTGTATTTAGCATGTTTATTGTGGATGTACCACTTAAAGGCCAGTCTGCCTATAGAATAGATTGGGGGCTCCTTGTCATATACCTGACTGTGAAAGCCAAGATGACACGTGTATCGTCTTGCCCAAGCACCACTTGTGGTGGAGGGACTGCTAGGGCAGCAAAAGGGCTCAGGTCCCATGGATGTGAACAAAAGAGAAAAACTTGTTCAAAGGTTGCAACAAAGGATTATTCAAATGGTGGATAAAGAGGCTCGATCAACTTCCAGACAACTTCAAGCTGACCTTCAGGCACAGGGTACAACTGTGTCAGCTTGCACCATATGTCACAATCTAAATGAAAAGGGGCACTATGGTAGGAAACCCAGGAGGACCCCACTGCTGACACCAAAACATACAAAAGACAGATTGGATTTGCCAAAACTTACCTGGGGAAGCCAAAATCCTTTTGGGAGAATGTTTTTAGAAAAAGCAATGAGGCCTTTAAAGAAAAGAATCCAGTCCCTACGGTCAAACGTGGTGGAGGTTCACTGATATTTTGGGGTTGCTTTGCTGCTTCAGGCACTGGATGTCTTGACTGTGTGCATGGCATTATGAAATCTGAAGACTATCAAAGAATTCTGGGGTGCAATGCAGGGCCCAGTGTGAGAAAGTTGGTTTTGTGTCAGAGGTCATGGGTCTTACAACAGGACAATGACCCAAAGCACACGTCAAAAAACACCCAGAAATGGTTTAGGACAAAGTGCTGGAGAGTACTGAACTGGCCAGCAATGAATCCAGATCTCAATCCCATAGTGCAACTGTGGAGGGATCTCAGAACAGCAGTTGGGAAAGGGAACCCTTCCAATCTGAGAGACCTGGAGCAGTTGGCCAAAGAAGAGTGCTCCAAAATTCCAGGAGAGGTGTAAGAAACTCATTGATGGTTACAGGAAACCACTGATTTCAGTTATTTTTTTCCAAGCAGTGTGCTACCAAATAGTAAATTAAGGGTGCAAATAATTTTGTCCAGTCCATTTTTTGGGGTTTTGTGTGGAATTTGTCATATTTTCCTTTTTGTTTCTCCACTTTTTTGTGTCATACCAATACAGACAAAAGAAATAAACATGAGAATGCCGAAACATTTGTAATTGCAACAATTTTCTGGGCGAAGTGCTGCATTATCTGACAGAAATGCAGGGGTGCCAATATTTTTGGCCATGACTGTACACGAAATGAATGTGCAAATGATTAAGGGAAATTTGTATAAAATACAATACCATATTCAAACACATTAAAGTAGTTCTAGAAGCAGAAGGATGTTTACTCTAATTAATTCTATGCATCAAGGTAAAAGGAAAAACCTTCTACATGCAGCCCCCCTAAATACTGAGCCTGCCCTGTTTTGATTCAACTATGTGCAAGAGAACAGTGGCTCTCTCACTCCAGAGACAGGCAGCAGTAGGAGTCATTGGCTCCTCCTGCTGTCAATCACAGCCAGTGAGGAGAGAGAGTGGGTGGGGCCAAGCCACACTCTGTGGCTAGAGCCAGCTAGGGAGCAAGCATGCACAGGTGCCCCCAGAGCAAGTAGCTTACTATGGGGGCACTCAGCAGGGAGTAGGGGCAATGAGCATCAGTGGGGGACCCCAGAAGTGGATTGGAGCTGCTCTGTGCAAAACCACTACACAAAGCAGGTAAGTATAACATAAAAATTCTGCCTTTACAATCACTAAACCCCGGACCCTGCATTCACTATATCTGGTCTCCTACAGTACACAGAACATGGAAATGCAATTATTTTAGTAAATATAAACTGCTAAATACCTTTTCTCATCAGCAGTATATAGCAGTCTTGTGACTTCGATCAGCGTCCAGCAGAACACTGAATAAAGCTTGTAGGAGGAGTTTTCATTTTGCTCTAAGAGGATGCAGAACCCCTGACCTCTGCCTGGACAGTGCTGATTGGCCCTGTGCTGATCACATGCTCCCAAGAAAAAAAACAAACCTCTAGACACCAAACTGAGCATGTGCAGAGTGACTCCACACAATATGTCTTATCAGGAGATAAGAGGGGGACACTGGAAGAAGGGGGGGATCATAGAAGTCAGGATCAAACTGCCTTTTTACACAGTGCAGAGGATTAACCCCTTAGGTTCCACAGTGAGTATAACGAGCATGTTTTACTGCATATACAGACTGACTTTGCTGTTGTGCTTTTAGTAACATAACTAACATTTTTGGTTTAAAGACTTTAAGAAATGGTTGTGTGCTCACTTCTTTTATTGAAAGCTTTTTTCATACACTTGCTCTCTCTTATCAGCATACAGGTTATTTTTATGCACTGTGAGCAAGCTCTTAGTATATAGTATATTTTAATAGACACTTCACTTTATTAGGCAGGTCCTTTCATAACTACACCATTACGTATTGTACCTCCCAGCACCCATTCTAAGAAGGACACTTACGATTAGTTGGGGTAAACAGACACTTTCTAAATATACCAGCCTTAGGACCAGGGGCGGACTGACCATTTGGAAACTCAGGCACTGCCCGAGGGCCTGGGGTCAGTAGGGGGCCCCATGAAATGCCCCTGGTACCTTTTTCATAGGCTTTTTTGAGTTTGGGCAAGGACACAGGGGCCCCATGATCCCCTATTGTCCGGGGGCAAAATGAGTTGATAGTCCGCCTCTGCTTAGGACACTGCTGAACCCAACACAAAACAAAGTGGAAGCATGGGCAAATCTGCTATACCAGGATTTTTGGAATATTTTACTAAGGCACTCGCTGCAACTGTTCCAGTTTCCTTCATACAAGTATTATAAATGTGGCCCATTGCCCTCCAGAGGATTTACCTGACCAGGCCATTTTTTGTGATACAGAACTGCGTTACTTTAACTGACAATTGCGTGCTCAGCATATTGTACATAAATTGTATGTTTTTTTTGTTTGTTTGTTTTTTCCCCACAAATAGAACTTTTTCGGTGGTATTAGATCACCTCTGGGGTTTTTTATTTATTGTTTTTTTTTTTTTGCGCTATAAACAACAAAAGACTGACAATTTCCAAAAAAAACAATATTTTTTACTTTTTGCTATAAAACATATCCAGTAAAAAATTTTAAAAAGCACATTTCGTCATAAATTTAGGCCAAAATGTATTCTGCTACTTGTCTTTGCTAAAAAAAAAAAAAATCTGAATATGTATAAATTCATTGTTTTATGTGAAAGTTATAGAATTTACAAATGGATATATATATACTGGAATTTTAATTTCTACTAGTAATGGCAGCGGGACTGCAGCAGGCATTGTAACACTAGGGGGGGACTGACTAACTGCCACTGTCATCCCCAGTGACTAATACAGTGATCGGTGCTAATGAAAAGCACTGACCCTGTACTAATGACACAGGGCAGGAAGGGGTTAATATCTGGGGTGCTCAAAGGGTTAACAGTGTGCTGTGTGTGTTTTACTGTTTAGACAAGCTGCTTTGTATTGCTCTGCTGTGCAGTGCAATATAAAGTAGCCTGTTCGTGCTGACAGGGAAGAAATCTGTATTGTTTTCATACAGACCTCTCCCCTGCCATCTCTGCCAACGATCACCGAGTCCCAGACTAGAATTAGTGGCCGGGACCCGGTGATTGACATGCCAAGGAGCCAATAGCCATGCGGGTAGAGAGAGCGTGCACGTGTGCCCCCTACTTGGTAATCCAAAATCATGTGTATATATACGTGATTTTGCACATCCCTGCTGCCCTCTAGCAGTACTTCTGCTATAGGGCAGTCAGGAAACAATTAATGAAAACTGGAAGCATGGAGGACCCTTGGACATTAGGGCTAGGTTCAGACCTATGCAGTTTGCCTTTGATCTGCTTCTGCAGTGCTTTTTGTGGTGTGTTTTGCATTTTTGCACTTGGTTTTTTTATGCAATTTGCATCTTTATGGTTTATTTATTTTTTTTTAAGCCAGCTTGTTGCTGAGCAGATTAAAAATGCAAAACACATCAAAATTTAAGGTCCCTAACTCAAATCCATACATACACATACTAGGGCCAATTTAGACAGGAGCCAACTGGCCTACCAGCATGTCTTTGGAGTGTTGGAGGCAACTGGAGTACCCCAGGAAACCCACACAGGCTCAGGGAGAACATGCAAACTCCAGGCAGGTGGTGCCATGATTGGGATTTGAACTGACAACCCTAATACTGCCAGGCAGAAGTGCTAACCATTTAGCCACTGTACATAGAAGGTTTTTTTCTGCACTGTGCACAACCCCCAATCCCATCATTGCTTTTGGGGCAACATCAACACTCAAGTTGCTTCTTCAACAGACCCTGTCACCAACTTAAAAAAGGCAATAAAATTACAGAAAAATCAACTATTTAAACAGATTACTTTCAGTATTTTCCTTTAATTTATTTTATTTATTTGCTTGTGAGTGCCCTTGAACCTGATAGGAAAGTTGACAATCTCAAGATAGTCAATTTACAAGCCCAAAATCCTCCCTCTCACACCTTGCATGTCATAGCCCTCTCCTCTTTTAGAAATGTCTAATGCTGTCTGTGCTGGCCCAGCTCCTCCACCCCTGCCCTCACCTCCCTACATAAACCTTTTATGTAGCTGCCATGGGAGAAGCAAAGTTGGATACTAAAGAATGTCACTTGAGTTTTTTAGGGCTTCTGTCATCACATCCAGCATGGTAGCGCCCACCAATAGTCTCAGGGCTTTTGAGTGCCTACATAAAGGAAGATTTTACAGGTAAATAATATTCATTATATACTTACAAGCAAGGCTTTTTTTTCGCAGAGAATAAGTGAAAGAACTCCCCTTTTCTGAATCACCCCTTGTCTCCGCCCCCTACCCACTTCCGAGCACCGCCCCTTGTTTCCACCCCATACCCATCTCCTAGTACTGCCCCTTTTAGAAAATACAGAACAAAGTTTCATTTTGTGCTGCTTAGTAATTAATATGGAATTTGTTAATGATAACAAGAGGAGTAATAAAAATAGATCCCCTTCATCCAGGAACAACAGACCCCTCCAGTAACAATATTTCCCTCATTGCATAAGACCCCTCCAGTAACAATAGAACCCCTAACTACAAGATACCACCCCATAAACAATAGATCCACCATAGCAACCGTAGACTCCCAGCAGTAACAACAGATTTCTCAGGAATCATCATCAATAGACCTCTACTTCAACAGTAGATCACTCTCAGCAACAATTGAACCCCCAACAACAATAGATTCCTCATCAGCAACAATAGACCCCCCAGCAACATTTTGACCCCACTCAAAAATACATTCCCCACTAGCAACAACGTTTTCACTAACAGAACTAACATTAAATATAGGACATAGTGTTTTGGGGGGTTTTTTTGTTTTTTGTTTTTTTGCTATGCTTTGTTCTTTTCTTTTGCTTTGCTTGGATGCTGCCATCCCATGTGAGTCTGGTGGCCATCTTGGGTCAGGAAGAGTCTATTTAGGACCCTGGCTCCTAGGCTTGGTGTGCACTTTTGTAGGGGCAGGTCACCTGTCAGGGAAAGTGAATAGCAGTTGGAAGAGGTTCCAGATGAGTAAGGACATGCCATCTTCCCTACACACAACAGTGCGTAGAGAGCTTCATGGAACGGGTTTCCATGGCCAAGCAGCTGCATTTAAGTCTTATATCACAAGTGCAATGCAAAGCGTGGGATGCAGTGGTGTAAAGCAGTGGTGTAAAGCTTTGGACATCTTTTTATGTCCTTTTCCATATTTATAAAGTTTCATTACCTTGTTATGCAGGACTTTTGACAGTTCTTTTCTCATCACCATGGCTCAGTATCTAGCCTAGTCAGTGCTTCCACGTAAGAGCTAACAAACTCATTGCAATTAGTGTCTGTGTATAAGTAGTCAATTTAAAAAGCCACAGATGTGGGACATTAACCTTTAATTGGTATTTTAACCCCGTGTGTGTCTGTACCAAGGCCAAACATTCCAGGGTATGTAAACTTTTGTTCATGGCCATTTGGGTGATTTCTGTTATCATTGTGATTTAAAAAGGAGCTAAAAAACTATTTGATAATAAATGGCTTCATATGATCATCATCCTTCAATAAAAGAGCATTTTTTTGGCATGATCAGTCATATTTTCAATATCAATGCCAAAATTTCACAATTTCTGACAGGGTATGAAAAACGTTTGCGCACAACTGTATATTCTTTCTGATTAATTCTATTCTATTCTTTTTTTTCTATTTCATTCTTTTATCTTCTATATCAAGGGGTCAAAATCTTTACCAAGTAATTATAGACCTGTTAGTTTAACTTCTATAGTTGGGAAGATACTGGAGAGTTTAATAAAAGACCACATAGATGAGTTTCTTGCTGGAAAAAAATATTTTAAGCAACAGAGAGCATGGATTCATGAAAGACAGAAGTTGTCAAACAAATCTGATTTCTTTTTATGAGGAGGTGAGCAAAATTTTGGACAGAGGGGTGGCGGTGGACGTGGTATACTTGGACAGAGGGGTGGCGGTGGATGTGGTATACTTGGACAGAGGGGTGGCGGTGGACGTGGTATACTTGGACAGAGGGGGTGGCGGTGGACGTGGTATAATTGGACAGAGGGGTGGTGGGGGACATGATATACTTGGATTTTGCAAAAGAGTTTGACACAGTTCCCCACACACGGCTAATGTGTAAGATAAATTCTACAGGCTTGGAAAAATCCATATGTAAATGGATAGAAAACTGGCTAAAAGATGGTATTCAGAGAGTAGTGGTTAATGATTCATACTCTGAATGGTCTACGGTTGTCAGTGGTGTACCCCAAGGTTCAGTGTTGGGACCCTTACTTTTTAATATATTTATAAACGATATAGGGTCTGGGATTAAAAATCCCATTTCAGTCTTTGCAGATGACACCAAGCTGTGCAGTGGAATAACGTCCTTACAGGATGTCTCCAATTTACAAGCCGACCTCAATGCTCTGTGTAATTGGGCAACTATGTGGCAAATGAGGTTTAATGTTGATAAATGTAAGGTTCTGCACTTGGGGGCTAAGAATATGCATGCATCATACATACTAGGGGGGTACAACTGGGGGAATCAATGGTGGAGAAGGATCTGGGAGTTCTGGTAGATCACAAGCTTAATAATGGCATGCAATGCCAAGCTGCAGTTTCTAAAGCGAGCAAAATCCTCTCTTGTATTAAAAGAGGTATAGACTCCAGAGAGAGATATCATATTACCCCGGTACAAATTATTAGTAAGACCTCATCTGGAATATGCAGTTCAGTTTTGGGCACCAATTTACAAAAAGAACATTGGGGAACTGGAGAAAGTACAGAGAAGGGCAACTAAACTGATAAGAGGCATGGAGGAGATCAGCTACGAGGAAAGATTAGAGGAACTGAATTTATTTTCTCTTGAGAAGAGGAGATTAAGGGGGAATATGATCAACATGTATAAATACATCAGTGGTTCATATAGTGAACTCGGTGTAGAGCTATTCACCCTGAGGTCATCAGAGGACAAGGGGGCACTCTTTACGTCTGGCGGAAAGGAAATGTAATCTCCAAACACGGAAAGGTTTCTTCACAGTGAGAGCTGTGAAAATGTGGACTAGACTTCCTCAAGAGTTGGTTCTGGCCAGCTCAGTGGATTGTTTTAAAAAAAAGTCCTGGATTGTTTCTTCGATACACAGAATATAACTGAATACTAACATTTATAGGTAAAGTTGATCCAGGGAATATCTGATTGCCTCTCGGGGGATCAGGAAGGAATTGTTTCCCCTGCAGGAGCAAATTGGATCATGCTTTCCTGGGTTTTTTTGCCTTCCTCTGGATCAACTGTGGGTGTAGGATTACAACTTTTTTTTTTTTTTTTTATGGTTGAACTGGATGGACTTTTGTCTTTTTTTAAGCCAGTCTAACTATGTAAAATGCTCATGTCCAAAGTACTATCTTTTTATTTTCTGTCTATTCTATTCTTTTCAGTTCTAATCTATTTGAATTCAAATGTATTTCTATTCAAATTTCAGAAGATGGTTGTAGTTTTCTATGAATTTTATTCTATTGTTTGTTTTTTTTCTGTTCTATTATGTTATTTTCTATTGTATTTGAATTTATTCTATGTGAATTTCAGAAGACGGTTATATTCTTTCAAGTTTTTCCTATTCTTTTATTTTCTATTTTATCCTATTCTCTTCTATTCTATTTTAGTCAAAATTATTCTGTCCTAATTTTGAATGTTATATTCTTTCTATTTTATTATATTCTATTGTTTCAATTCTATTCATTCCTTTTCTAATCTATTCAAATTTAAATTCATTCTGTTCAAATTTCAGAAGATGGTTCTATTCTAATTTATTCAATTTTTTCATATTCTTTTCTATTCTAATCTATGCTATTTGAATGTATTCTATTTGAAATTTAAATTTCAGGAGATGGTTATAGTCTTTCTATTCTATTCTATTTTCTGTTCTGTTTTACTCTGTGCTATTCTTTTCTATTCTATTCAAATTAATTCTATTTGAAATTTGAATTTCGGAAGCCGGTTATATTCTATTCTACTATTTTCTATTCTAATGTATTCTATTCAAATTTTAGAAGACAGTTGATATATATTCATTCTATTCTTCTGTTTTATCTTTTCTATTTTCTATTCTTCTTTTCTGTTCTATTCATTCTATTCTTTTTTCTATTCCATTTTATTCTATTCTATTCAAATGTATTCTATTAAAATTTCAAAAGACTGTTATATTCTATTTTATTCTGTTCTTTTATTTTCTATTCGTTTCTCTTCCTTTATTTTTTTTATTCTATTCTGTTCTGTTATACTCTTTTATTCTATTATGTTCTATTTAACTTCATTTTTTTTTATTTTTTGTTCTGTTTTACTCTATTATTTTATATTCCATTTTATTCTTTTATTTGCTATTCTAAATCTATTCCTTTATTTTCTATTTTATTCTTTTTGATTTTGTTTTCAAATTCGATTAGAATTCAATTTGAATTTCAGCTTAAATTTTGTTTTGTTTTTTTGGATTTGTTACTATGTATCCAAATTTTCGAATAATGAAAATTTGGTTCAAATTTCGATTGGCACAGTGGTGATTGTTATTTCAAGAAGCAAATCTCTCCATTTCATCACATTTGGACACTATGGGGTTGATTTACTAAAGGCAATTAGACACTCTGCAAGTGCAGTGGCTCCAGAACTTAGTAAATGAGGTAGAGCTTCCCTTTGCCAAGAATACCCAATCACATGCAAGGAAAAAAAAAGTCAAGAATACCCAATCACATGCAAGGAAAAAAATCATCTGCACTTGCAAAATGCACAATCTAATTGCCTTTAGTAAATTAACCCCGTAGTGTTTACAAAAATAACTTTTTCGCATAAAATAACTTGTTTTGTTCGCATTCAGTATTTTGGATGGACAGCTATAA